ACGCTGTAATTTTTTCAACCTTCTCGTAAAAAGTTAAAAGTATCACAAAGAACAGAACTTATCAAAATATCGAGTGAAAAACGCCTTTTTTTTCCATTTTTTTGTAATGTTTATAATTTTTTAAGAGAAGATCGTAGAAAATGCATTGATCTCTCATTTTATTCTCTTTAAAATGACATTGTTAAAAAATAGCTCTCGAGAATTGAAAACTATCGTATTCAGTTTTTTCAAAATAAATCTTGCTATACAATGTATTAAATAGATTAAGCTAATATTTTTTTCATATATAAATATGATAGATATTTTAAAATTATTTAGATCGGTTCAAGAAAATGGTCTCGTGAATCTATTCGTCTTCCAACATTATCATTAACTCATCCAATAGTATTAATGCGTCATCAATTAGAAAGTTTATCATCAATATTTGAATGTTTATCATTATCATGGCCAATACTTCTTGTTGGTCCATCATCACGTTCATCAAAATCTACATTAATTCATATATTATCATGTTTATGTGGTCATTCTTGTCAAACATTTGAATTAAATTCTTCAATTGATACAAATGAATTATTAGGAAATTATGAACAATTTAATTTTCAACAATATGCTAAATATCATTTAAATATATTAAAAAATGAATATATTAAAAATAATGAAATAAATATATTAAATGAATTAAATAATGAAAATAAAATAATAACAATTGATTATTTAAATGAATTAAAAAAATATTTTCCATTAAATGAAATTGAAAAATTAATATTAAAATATAGTCAAGAACAACATTTTGTTTGGATTGAATCAATATTAATACGTTCAATGCGTCAAGGAGATTGGTTAATTCTTGAAAATGTTAATACATGTTCATTAAGTGTTTTAGATCGTTTAAATTCTTTATTAGAACCAAATGGACAATTAATATTAAATGAAGGTGGTGGACAAGGTTCAATTATTAAACCACATGAAAATTTTCGACTTATTTTAACAATGGATCCTAAACAAGGTAATGGAGAAATATCAAGAGCTATGAAAAATCGTTGTTGTGAAATTTATATTGATGATCAACAAGAATATAATTATTATGATTTGAAAGAATTAATACAAGCTTGTCAAATTTATCAAACGAAACAACAAGAAGATTTTATTCAAATTCATCAAATACTTTGTCAAAAAGGTTTAAGAATGTTTTCTTTTTTTATTTAAACGAGACTCGAATGAAACATAGATTTGGATGAGTTTTTATCAAAAATTTAGAAAATTTTGTTTTATATTTTAACAGAGTTTGATATTTGAGTTACGTTAAATTTTTTTCTAATTTCTTTTCATTGTCTATTATTCTATAGTAATTTAGTTTAGTAGAAAAATATATAATGAGCTATAGACACATTGATCTATCTTCTGAGCAAGGAGAAAAATGAGTCTTACAATCGATTTTGAAACAAAAAAAAAAAAAAAAAAATAAAGATAACTTTCAACATTTTGTTTTAGTATCAACATTTGGTTTTCATAATTTAATTCGATCATGTTTATTATATAATGAATTATTTCATTCACCAAATGAATTATTTCGTCTAGCAATAAAAACAGCCTATCGTACATTAAATACTCGTTTAAATAATGAAATTGATTTATTAATTGATGAATTTACTTCAAATTCTATAAAATCAAATTTTATTGTATCACCAACATATATAAGTGAATTATGTTTACAACCTGAATTAATTATTTCAAATAAAAAAAATACACCACTTTGGTATTGTTCATTAAAAACTGAACAAAGAAAATTTCATTTATTATTTTATCGTTTTATCGAAAATATATCATCACCATCAATTGAATATGATTTATTTTGTTTTAAACATCCTCAAGAAATATTTCTAATTAATATTATTAAAGAAATAAATAATAATCAAAATAATTTATTAGTACGAATATTAATTGAACATGATTTTATTTATAAACAATTAAAAAAAACTGTTAAAACAAAATTTAATGATGAAGATTTATTTTTTGAAAATAGTGATGGACAATTTTGGTTATTAATGAAACAATATTTTATTCAAGCTTTATCTTCGTAAGTTTTTTTTTTTTTTTTTGTTAAATTAAATACTCATATATGATTCATTTACGCACTGTATTTTATCGTAAACCAGATCGGTGTTTTACGAATATGTTTAATGGGAATAACGATCACATATAATCCTAAATAACAGTGTCAAAGTCTGAAACGATCGTTTTTGCTATTGATATTTTTCGAAGTTTACGCTGAGATATAATACGAAGACAGAACGTATTTTATCATTATCATGGTTATAAGTATCGATGTGAGAGGGACTGGAGTGAACTTATCTTCCCTGATTTTCATTTTACGTCTGCAAAAGTTTCGAGCTGTTTGTCAGAAAACGATCTCCTAAGTTTAAAAAGGTAGCTTTTCTCAAGAGACAATGTTTTAACTTAGAAATCGGACTCCATTCATAAGTTAGACCCCAGTCAGATATAATAAACTTCAAAAGGATAATAAATCCTCTTAGAGATGTTCTTTCCAAAGTTACAGGCATTTTATTAGAATATTAACCTCTGATTTCGTATATGCCAATAAATCTTGCGCACAGACAGACTTATTTATCAACAACATATCCTGAAAATTTGATACCAAAAATATAGTACCAAAAGACAGAAAATTCTTACATTTTTCGTGAAGTATGAGTGATTTTGGTGGCTTTAATATCTCGATAAAGAAATATTTATTTGAGCTGAAATTTTCAGGCACTCTGATGACAAATAGATCTATCTGTCGGCAAAACGTCAGGTTGAAAACCGTTCTTTAATTTCTTGGGTATATATCAACACATAGACTAACCCATGTAAAAATAAATCAAGAAAAAACGGGATTTTAATCGATTTTTTTGTGATTAAAAATCGATTAAAATGAGACGATTTTCATCAGATTTTAATCAGATTCCTTGAATTTTAATCAATTTTAATCGATTTTAATCAGACTT